GTCGAGGCTGCGGTGGCCAGGAGTGGCCACTGCACTCCAGTCTGGGCAACAGAGTGAGACTCCAACTCAAAAAAAAAAAAGAAAAGAAAATATAGTTTATGTAGAAAGTAAATGGGGAGGGGAGGGGAGGAGAGGGGAGGGGAAGGAGGGAGAGGGAGGGGGAAGAGTTGAGTTCACCTCCCCAAGGTAGGGGAGGGAGCTAAAGCTAAGTAAACATGGCAGCCACAGCTCAAAGAGCACATGGCCAGCCCATGGCTTAGCAGAGGCAATGGCAGATCAAACAGATCTTTATCAACCTTTATGTACTTTAATTTCTGAGTAGTATTTGACTTCATTGACCTTTTCCTTCCTATTGGAATTCTACGTCTTCTAAAAAACTATATTAATTCTGGATCTCTAGCAGACTCTCTCAATCACTCCTTTTATTAATGAATCATTTGCAAGTGACATTCAAGGCCAGGTGTGAAATCTTAATCATAAAGATTTTTTTTAAAAGAAATTACTGGCCAACCATGGTGGCTCATGCCTATAATCCCAGCACTTTGGGAGGCTAAGATGAGAGGATTGCCTGAGTCCATGGGTTCGAGACCAGCCTGGGCAACTTGGTGAGACTTCATCTCTACAAGAAATAAATACATTAAAAAATCAGCTGGGTGTGGTAGCACGTGCCTATAGTTCCAGCTACTTGGAGGGCTGAGGCGGAAGGATTACCTGAGTCCAGCAGGTCAAGGCTGCGGTGGCCGTGAGCGTACCACTGCACTCCAGCCTGGGAGACAGAGTGAGACTCCAACTCAAAATAAAATAAAATAATTTAAAAGAAATTATTTACTTTCTAGTAAATAGCTACACGTATACAAGTATAACCAAGTACTGCCTGAAAGAGGCTGGGTTAATGAATAAACTGGAATTTTAAATTAGTACTTAAGACCACTGCCCCAAGCAGTGTTTGTTTTGATGATACTGTTGATATGAAAATAAACCTTTACACAGTCTATTTCTTTTTTTAAAATCTGCACTTATATTAATCTATATCCCATTTTATTAAATGTAAAGATAACTTCCTCACAGGTAAAATTAAGTAGTAAAATATTCCAAGTTAATGAAATATAATCCACACATTTTGCTAACTAAGCACACTGTCAGGCTCTGTATGTGCCATGCAGGCTGTGTAATTGTACAGTGCCCAGTAATCGGCACCCTGTTCTGTTGCAGACCTCCAAGCCACAGTGAATTTCTGTAGTTTTCCTTCCAAGGCATCCTTTTTACTGAGACACAAAGAAAAGTAGAAAGACAAGCTCTGTTTATTTTAATACTTGAATCTTGTCTGAAATCAGCTACTATTTGCAACTAAGAGTCTTACTAAAATTTTTATAATTAAATAGTTACTAATCTCTCAGAAACACATATGCTGGAAAAAATAAGACTCTACTCCATCCTGAATGGAGGAATAATAGGTTTGGCTTTCTTTATTTTAGTAGTAAAAACTAAGTGTAAAAATTTGTCTAGATTAAAGAAATCCTTGATTTCTTAAAACTTTGCCATACTGAAGGAGAGTCACCAATGTTACTGCATAATCACTCCACAGTTTAAGTCAAGCAAACACAGTTTCATTCAAGCACTTAGAATGTGCTAGGCTCCATGCCAGGCAGAGAAGATACCAAGATGAACAAGGTATCATCTCTGCCTTCAAAGAGCTCACAGTCTTATAAACAGATACTTGTATAGAAAATGTTTTCTTTTATTAGTCATGTACCACAAATTATGAGTTGATTAACTTTAATTGCTAAAAAGGTATGACTTTTCTTAAGACAGTAAATTTCTAAATTAAGAAGTTTTTAAAAAATAAGCTCCAAAAACAGACATGATATAAATGCTGTCATCTTACTGGCCTATCTCCTAGATAAAACCATATTTTCTGCTTTTAACATAACTATTATTTCTAAAGTTACAAGTTATGGTCATCAGAGTCATGTAGCAGAAGTGTGCTCAACCCATGAAGTTACAAGTTATGGAGCACAAAACTGTTAAATTAAGTCAGAATTTCTTGAGCAGAAGGAGCATAAAAATCATCTAGTCCAATCACTGAAGTCTTCTACCTAGATACGTTCTCTGAGCATTTCAACCTGAAATACCAGAAAACAACAGTTACTATTGTGATTTAAAACTCAGTCTTGCCTTCAGTACCAATAAAAATTATTTCGTATTCTCTGCTAATTATATTACTTCATAGTCTCTGCTAATTCTCTCCTGTGTAAGGCATGATCTTAAAAAATCTTTAAAGTAAACATGGGTGACATGGGTAAATAAACTTTTAACACTAATTAGCAATTTTTTTTCTAGAACTCAGTAGAAAAGGAGAGTCAAAGACAATAGGTACATACAAAAAGACATAAATTATAAGCAATATCCTACGTAGACAGTGTGCTAGAAACAGATTGCTATAAAGTTCAATTACAACAATTATTAAAACAATAGCAAGTTAGAGCTCTAATAATGATATGGAAAAGATTAGCATAAAATGTACACATATTCAGTAAGGTTCTCCTAAAATTTTTTTTTCTTAGAGATGGGGGTCTCACTATATTGCCCAACTTGTAGTGCAATGGCTATTCACAGGTGTGATCATTACACACTACAGTCTTGAACTACTGGACTCAAGTGATCCTCCAGCCTTAGTCTTCCAAGTAGCTGGGACTATAGGTGTGTACCACCATTCCCAGCTCTTCTAATTACACACTGATATATATATATATATATATATATATTCCCACTTAAAATAGCTGATTATCTGATTATTTTGATCAAATAAACCATCAATTAAAGATTAAAAACACATACACTGAGCCAGGTGCAGTGGCTCATGCCTGTAATTCCAGCACTTTGAGAGGCTGAGGCAAGAAGATTGCTTGAGCCTAGGAGTTTGAGACCAGCCTGAGCAAGAGAGTAAAACCTCAGCTCTACCAAAAAAAAAAAAAAATCAAAACATTAGTGGGGCTTGGTGGTGTGCATCTGTAGTCCCAGCTACTTGGGATGCTGAGGTAAAAGGATCACTTTTACTCAAGAGGTCAAAGCTGCCATGAGCTTGATTGTCATAATCATGCCATTACACTCCAGCCTGGGTGACAGAGTGAGACTCAGACTTCACACACAAATAAGCACATACACACATTTTGGAGGATTATGCATGTAAACATAAACAAATTAACACAAAATTAAGCCAAGTGACCAAAAGTTATAAACTTGGAAAAGTGGATTTAACTTACAACGATAATACTGAATGGAATGATTATTCCACCTAATAACGCATAAGGTATGGTGTCTTCTTTGTAAGGGTACTTGATGGACTCATCATTACAGAATACTCCTCGTTGGAAGGGGGTATGCCTTGAAGTAAGAATTGCAAAAGGCAATCCAGCTAGCAAAAGGGAATAAATGAAAATATCATTAAAAAAGAAATATCAAAACTAATTAATGGCAATAATTATCCCAGAGACTTTAAAAATGCATTTGCCATGAAAATAAATGAAAGCACATGTAAAAAATGAAATGCAGCAATGCATGCAACAGAAGTCAGAAAGATAACAGTTTAGGGTGAAGATGTTTTTTCTACAGGAAACAAAGCTTTCAAGCCCTCTATTATCCATTTTAACAAAGAGCATCTTCTCTTTGTTCCTGCCCCAAAACACTAAATGAAATTTGGAAAAATCCTTCTGATGCTCTTTTTATCATTTAATCATCAGGTTGTCAACACTATTTTGAAACCAATTTTTCATGAACTTTCCTTCCAAAAGGAAAATAACATTTTGACATTTCCTATTTTGTTCCGGTATTATTGCCATATTTGGCTAGGTCACGGTCACTGATTAAGCTATCAAAGTATCTAAATAAAGCTTTATCCACTCATTTCTGTACCGCCTACAGCAAGTTGAAAGCTGCTGTAAAAAGGAGTCTGAATTTAAAATTTCTTAAGATGACAATGGAGTCAAGCACAAAAGCACCTAACAGCTCTCTGTTTGTATCAATATTTTCCATAAAGACCTCACACCTCCTGAAATGTCTCACACCTCCTAAAATGCCAAACTTTGACCAAAATGTGAAATTTAAGAATTCAGTTCTCCTTTACTTCACTTTTGGCCTACTGGTATTGCTTTATAAAAGAGATGCAGCTTTGCAGAAACTCTCAACAAGATCTGCTTTAAGGATGATCCAAGTCTGAAAGGCTCTCTCTCCCTAAGTGACCCATGTTCCCTACAGTAACACCATAACCACTAAGCGAACACTCTCATGGTAGGTTCAAGTGTTACCTCTCCGTGAAGTACCAAGATTTGATGACCATTACAATTCTCATTAACTCCAATAAGTCCCAAAATGTAAATGACAACTAAGTCTCTGTTACTTTGCTTGGGTGTATTTACCACAAATATCAAATATCCAATCTATTATAAGAGCCAAAAAGGAAAAATGCATAAAATCATATTTCTTTCATTCCTAGCTCTTTTATTTATCTTCTTATTTTTCATTTAGACACTGAATACATGAACCAAAGTTTTGTTCTTTGTGTTAGTCAATTGGCTAACAGCTGCCAATTCAAAAAGTGTTTAAGATGCTACAAGGTTCCTAAAGTCATACTTCTAGTAAATGCTACACTTAAAGAAAAAATTAAAGTTGACTTTGCTAACTAACCCTTATACTAGCTCTCATATCTGAATTCAGACTGCACTCTAACCCACTGAGCAAATTTATTTTGGACTTACAAAGAATCCCTACTTATATAACTCAGTTTACTCGTAAGAACTCTAATATTGGAAACTTCTACTGTCTACATAGCCCATTTCTGAATTGGCTGCATTCTTCAGTAAGCATTTCATTTTTTTTGTAATAAGATATTTAGTGCAGAAATTAAATTCACATATGAGTGGTGTACAAAACTTATTAGGCTTTGTGTCCTTACTGTCAGTGAAAATTCATATCAACAGGTCCAAATATATTGAAAAAATACCATTAACATGTATATCCATTACTCTGGCCACAAAAAGCATGTTAGAAATTATCAGATTTAGAAAAAAAGTTCATGGATATTTTTCAGGATAGTAGAGGAACAAAATAAAATCACAAAGTATAATAAACAGCCCATTTAAAAAATAGAAATATTCATGTGGGCAAATACTGAGTGAATCAAGGAATTGTGCTAACTGCTACCAGGAACACAAAACTGAATAAGGTCAAGTAGATAATTACAGCAGAGGTAAACAGAGATACAAAGACTCCAAGAATTCAGAAGAAAAAGTTGGTGAAATCTCTAAGTAGTAATTTTCAATAAGCTGGTGCTTATCAGAATCTGAATCTTAGTAGAAGATGTCTAGGACAGAGATAGAGATTTGGGGGTGGAAAAGACCTCTAAAGCCACAGAGGTGAAAAACATTGTGCAGGATGGATCTAAAAGAAGCGGATGGTAAAGCACAGAGCAACAGCAGAGGAAGAAGATCCACTGGGGTACCTTGGGTGAGTTGAGGGCAAGCAGGAGAATGTAACATCACCAACACCAAGTCAGAAGGAGAGCATTTAAAGAGGTGAAGATTGGATGACAGTGCCCAGTGTTGCATTCCATGGGTTTTTGATTGTCAGTCTCAGTAAAAGAGGTTTTAAGAAGGAAGAAAGAATAGAAACTAGACTGTAGAGATTTTAGTAAGGAATGATAATAAAAAATAAGCATAAATCTATCACAAATGCACACTATTCTTTTGAGAGTGTATCATCAAAGGCCTTAAAAACATGTTAAAACTGGTAATAGCCAATATTTGCCATCACTCATATAAGCGCATGAGGTATATTAAATCAGTGTTATTACCCAATGTCACTTCATTTTCACTAATTATCTAATCCTAAATATAGATCCCCAGAAGGGATGGAGAGAAAACTCAAACCACGGGTTGTTCACTTGACCCACTTAAGGCTCAAAAAGATAAGCTATTTCAGATTCCTGTTCTGAAAATTATAGAACTTAAACAAAGACTGAATAAGTCCAGCCTGGCAAACAGCATATACAAGGAAGTTTGGCTGCCGAAGAGTCTGAGAATAAAGCAGGTCTACAAAAAAAGAAGTGACTAGCATGACCCCTGAAAGTACAAAACAGGGAAGGTAGCTTTGGTTTCCCATTGCCAAAATGCCTCACTGATCTTGCTGTTTGGGGGTTATTGAAGTAACTTGTACCTTTTTTTTTTTTTTTTTTGAGTTGGAGTCTCACTCTCTTGTCCAGGCTGGAGGGCAGTGGCATGCTCACAGCCACTGCAGCCTCCACCTGCTGGGCTAAGGAGATTCTTCCGCCTCAGCCTTCCAAGAAGCTGGAGCTACAGGCAGGCACCACCACGCCCAGCTAATCTTTTGATTTTCTGTAGAGATGAGATCTCAAGATCTCACCAAGCTGACCAGGCTGGGCTTAGGCAATCCTCTCTCCTCCCAAAAGTGCTGAGATTACAGGCATGAGCCACTGTACCCAGCACCTCACTTAAGCTAGTCAGAAAGAGTTTCTACTCCTTACAATCAAGAGGAACATAACTAAAGTGATTATAATATTACCATTCTCCCTACTTTGAAAGTACGTAGGCTATTTTTAATTTTTTGATTATCCTATATAACGCTGTGGTGAACATTTCCAAATACAAATCCTTGTTTGTCTTTCTAATTATTTCCTTAGAAAATGTTTTTATGTGGAATTAAAGGATGTAAACATTAAATTTCTCGACAAACTACTCTAAAAGGGTTATCACACACCACCAATTTACTTCACCAGTCACAGTGTACAAAAATATGAAGAAATGTGGCCCGGCCACATTGGCTCAAGCCTATAATCCCAGCACTTTGGGAGACCGAGGTGAGAGGATTACCTGAGCCCACGCATTCGAGAACAGCCTGGGCAACTTGATGAGACCTCATCAATACAACATATCAAAAAATTAGCCGAGCGTGGTAGCGTGCGTCTGTAGTTCTGGCTACTTGGAAGGCTGAGGCGAATGCATAGCCTGAGCCTACACAGCAGGTCAACACTGGGGTGGCTGTGAGTGTGCTACTACAGTCCAGCCTGGCCACAGAGTGAGACTCCAACTCAAAAAAAAAAAAAAAAAAAGAAGAAGAAGAAATGTTACATTTTAAGTAGATATTTGATGTTATTTTTGACATTCACTAAAGATCTCAAGGCAAAAGTAAAAGAGTTCTGTTTGTTCTTTTAACTATTCAAACACCCTTTTCCTTTTGCCAAAAGAATTACACACCACTAAATCCTCTGCCATCATTTCTCAAATGACTTCAATTGTCAATGTTTCTCTTAATACTTCAGCTGGCAAAATTCATTTTCACTCCCTTTTTTTTTTTGAGTTGGAGTCTCACTCTGTCGCCCAGACTGGAGTGCAGTGGCCGCTCCCGGCCACTGCAGCCTCGACCTGCTGGACTCCGGCGATCCTTCTGCCTCAGCCTTCCAAGTAGCCGGAATTACAGGCATGCGCTACCACACCCGGCTGATTTTTTGATTTATTGTAGAGATGAGGTCTCGCTGCCCAGGCAGGTCTCGAACCCGCGGGCTCAGGCAATCCACTCACCTCAGCCTCCCAAAGACACGGGATTACAGACTGAGCCACCGAGCCCGGCTCACTCCCTTTTTTTTAAACACCTTTATTGAGGTAAAATTTACATTCCATAAAATTCATCCACTCTAAGTATATATATAATTCAATGGTTTTGGTAAATGTATAAAGCTAAGCAATCATCACCACAATACAATTTTAAAACAATTTCAGTATGCCCCCAAAATTTTCCTGATCCCTTCTCCCACTGCCAACCTCAGGTAACCATTCAGCTGTCTCTACACTTCATATAAATGGAATTATACAATATACAGGATTTTATATGTAGCTCGTATCACTTAGCATAATGTTTTTGAGGTTCAACAATGTTATAGCATGTACTTTGTTCCTTTTTATTAATGAATAGTATCCTAGTGTGTGTATATTACCTCATTTGCCTTATTTATTCATCAGTTAATAGACATTTGGATTGTTTCTAGTTTGGGCTATTATGACTAATCCTACTATGAATATTCACATGCACAAGTGTTTGTGTAGATACATGTTCTCGTTTCTAATGGATGATACCTACAAGTGGAACTGTTAGGTCATATGATAAATTTCACTTTTTAAGAAATTGCCCAACTGTTTTCCAAGTGGTTGCACCATTTTACATTCCCACATCCCACCTTTTAAAATGTTCATGTGGCTAATCATAACCCATTTAAGACTCACATTCTCTGCACAGTGAATTCATACACAAATAAATACAGCTTTTACTATTGAATATTTATAATTAAAAAGAGAGCAGGTGATATGGCAGCTCATCACTTACACAAAATACCACAAGAACATTTCTCCATCCTCTACCAGTGATAAGAAAAGACAACATAAGAACATGGTCACAATGCTTAGCAAAAAAAACAAAGCAGGAGGTATCACACTTACAGACTTCAAACTTTACTCTAAGGCTACAGTAATCAAAACAGCCTGGTATTGGTACAAGAACAGGCAAATAGACCAATGAAACAGGACAGAGATTCCGGAAGCAAAGCCTCAATTTCTCAACCAACCCATGTTTGACAAAGCCTTCAATAACAACCACTGGGGAGAGGAGAACCTATTCAGTAAATGGTAAGGGAAAAACTGGCTGATCTCATGCAGAAGATTGAAACAGGACCCCTACTCATCACCATACACAAAAATTAACTCTAAATGGATCAAAGACCTAAACATGAAACCTTAAATTATAAGAATCTTAGAAAAGACAGGAGATACCCTTATGGAAATTGAAACTGGCAACCAACTTCTGAACAGAACCCTAAATCCCATACCATAAGAAATAAGATAGACAAGTGGGACCTCATCAAACTGACAAGTTTCTGCAAAGCAAAACAAAAACCATCAAAAGAGCAAGGAGACAGTCTACAGAACGGGAAAAAATATTTGCCAACCGTATATCTGACAAAGGCCTAACATCTAGGATCTACAAGGAACTCAAATGTCATCAAAGGAAAAAAACAAACAGCCCCATTAAAAAGTGGGCAAAAGACATGAACAGACACCTCAAAAGAAGACATAAGGGCAGCCAACAGACAAGAAAAAGTGCTCAGCCTCACTCATCATCAGAGAAATGCAAATCAAAACCACCACATTGAGATACCACCTCACCTCAGTAAGAATGGTCATCATTAACAAAACAAATAATAACAGATACTGGCTAGGATGCAGAGAAAAAAGGAACACTTCTAAACTGTTGGTGGGAATTCAAACTAGTGCAATCTCTCTGGAAGACAGTGTGGCTATTTCTGAAAGAACTAGAAATTGACCTTCCATGTGACCCAGCAATTCCCCTATTGGGAATACACCCGGAGGAACTCAAATCATTCTACAAAAAAGATACCTCAGCCGGGCCCAGTGGCTCAGCCTGTAATCCCGCGCTTTGGGAGGCCGAGATGAGTGAATTACCTGAGCCCACGGGTTCGAGACCCACCCGGGCAACTTGGTGAGACCTCATCTCTCCAATAAATCAAAAAAATTAGCCAGGCGTGGTAGCTGATTTTTTCTGGTAGCTCCAACTACTTGGAAGGCTGGGGCAGAAGGACTGCCGGAGCCCAGCAGGTCGAGGCTGCAGTGGCTGGGAGCGGCCACTGCACTCATGTGGGCGACAGAGTGAGACCCCAGTTCAAAAAAAAAAAAACCTGCACATGCATGTTTGTTGCAGCTCTATTCACAATAGCAAAAACATGGAACCATCCATGCTGCCCATTGAAGCTGGACTGGATTAAAAAAAGTGGTACATATACACAATGGAATATTATGCAGCCATAAAGAAGGACAAACATATGGACTTTTGCAGCAACTTGGATGGATTTAGAGTTTATCATACTCAGTGACCTAGCACAGAAACAGAGTACCATATGTTCTCACTCATAAGCAGATCTTGAACAATTATCATAATATTGAACAATTATCATAATACTATAAGAAAGGATTGGCAGTAGTGGGAAACTGCCAGGGGAAGGGGGTTGGGATTGGCAGCTGAGGGAAACTGCCAGGGGAGGAAGGGGTACACCTCATCAACAAAGGTACCTGCATAATCAACGTTTGTATGCCTAACCCTGAATTGTACCCCACAACTTTAATATTTAAAAAAAAAAGAACATGGTCACACCACATATTCTTTAACTTTCTCTTGTACAAATACTCAGGATCTTGGAACCATAATACAAATATCAAAAAACTGTTTTAGTTAGAAATATTGTGTCCAGCAAAACGGAAAAACTGTGATTGAAAACTCTTTTACATGTAAAGGGAACTCGTAATATTAGTGAAAATTACAAATACCTTCACAGAATATTGTCTTAAGACTCATCTATATTGTAGCATAGATTGATATTTTATTCCTTTTTGTTGCTGAATAGTGTTCAACTGTATGAATCTAAAATATATCAGAAGCCCAGGAGCAAGTGGTATGCAGGTCCAGAGTC